AAGCGGGGTGGCTGAGGTGGGAGCCACCACGCCACGGGTAGCAGAGAGCCTTCGAGGAGCCACCGTCAGCACGGAACAAGGGTAAAGGGGCTCCAGTTCTGGGCAGGGGGAACGTACCAGTACAATCGACCAGAACAAAAACCATCAGAGGCAACTTCCAAGAGCAGCAGGTACAGAGGGAGTTGGATTGCAGGAACACATGGAAGGGGATAAGGACTGATGGGACGGCCAGACCAGGAAAAGTAAACCCACACTGTTTATTTGGGGCTTTCTGACAGGTTTGCTTTTATTAATTTTTTTTTCCCCCAGACACAGAAGAATCAAAACACCCACCTTAAACTCAGAGGAGGCTGCAGCAGGCCCACCGACTGCCCAGCCAAGGCACATGAGCCCTGGCTCCAACAGGCCCCGGGTGCCAAAACCCAGGAAAGCGTTTTACTCCAAAGCGCCAGCGTAGGAGACTGCGGGAGATGGAGGAAAACCATGCCCGGGCAGAGCCAAGCGACACCAAAATGAAGGTCTGTTGCTCACTGCAGCCTGGGCAGGAACATTGTGCTGAGTTTTTTCTCAAGTCAAAAGCAGAATAAAGCAGTGGGGGGCAACAAGACATAGCATCAAAGGGAAAGGGGTCACTTCCACCCCAGCTTCACCCCACCACAGCCCTTCCCTGCAGCAGGGGCCCATCTCCCAAAAGCTGGCACCGAAGGTCTCAGGAGGGTCAGGCACATCCATCACCCACCTCAGCCGCAGCAGGGAGACCACTCCGGAGCTGCTGTGCTACCAGGCGTGCAGGGCAGAGTATTTCATTCCCTAACAACAGGTTTTAGCCAGGCCAGGTACCGAGGCCGTCAGCCTGAAGCAGCTGGAAAGGGGAAACATCACCAGTTTGTTGAGTACAGAGCTCGGCAGCGGGCTCACCAAGTCACCCCCCAGCAACTTGAAGGGTCCCGCTTCAGCCGTGGGGCAAGAGGAGACAGGGCAGCTCCTGCCCCACATCTCCAGCTGAGGAAACCCAAGCAGGTTCATCCCCATCAGTCTCCCCCCACTCCCCTGAAGGGAGCCATTCTCCAGCACCTCTTCAGGCTGTTCCAAACCCTCCAATCACCAAGCAGGCCAGTTTTGGAAGAGCAAACCACCCTAAAGTCTCATAAACACCACAGAAATTCACACAAGTTTCACATCAACAAGTGCCGAGAAGAGGAGTCACATTAGCACAACACTCTCCCCGTTTCCAAGCCGGGCAGGGGTCACCCCCAGCACCCACCTCCCCAGGTCAGCCAGCCCAGCGCCAAGCCTGCAACGACACGGCAGACTCCACAGCCCAAACCAGGGCAGGGCCGAACATCCCCCAGGCGTGTCCATGGCCCCCCTCACCCCACACAGGCCTGCAACAGAGGGAGGGCGACTGATCCGATGAAGGCACAGCCACCCTGCAGCAACACAGGCCAGTGCTGATCTTCCTCCAGGAAACTTCCTTGGAACTATTTACACCAGCGGCTCCGGGTCCCTTCTCCCTCCTCTTGTTCCGGACTGACGTCCCAGATACCCTTCCCGCATCTCTAGCTTGCGGCTGCATCCGAGAAGGGCAATTACACCATATGTCATTGCATCCAACAGCAGCAACTGTAGAGCTCTGAGCAGGCCAGGAGATGAGAAAACCCTGTTTATTCCACATGAAAATAGGAGGAAGGAGGACTAAAACGAGGGAGGTAAACCAGTCCAAGCATTAGCCAGAGGCTTGGTCTCTGGGCGGCTTGCTGCGAGGCCAGGATTCTCCCCAGGGCAGGTAGTCTGGCTCACAACACAGCGGTGCTCCGCGGTTAGCCACACGCAGTTGCCCGTCGCTGCGTGCCAGGCGCTGGGCAAGTGAGCTCTGCCCCGCAGCCACCCTGCTCCCTGGGAAGGCAGGGGCTCTCACTGCAGGAAACTGTCCAGTCTGGCTTGGCTGCTGCTGGAGGACGACGCGGAGGGAGCTGCAGACACAGGCCTGGAGACCTTCTTCTTCTTGCTCCTCACTGCCGAGGGACGGATTTCCGACAGGTTTGTCTGCAAGTCAAACGGTCAAGGAAAGCACGGAGTGACGCCCCGGGGACACGAGTGATCCAACACCTGCTGCAGACCGGCCGGAACCACAGACCTGGCACCCAGCTTTGCACCCAAAGAAAATCTCCCCGCAGGCTTCACCCCCTGCTCACAGCAGCAGGGCTCAGGCATGCTCCTGTCCCACGAGCCAAGGAATGCTTCCCACTTCTGTGCTACACCCTTAGATGCAAACCAGCATTTAAGCGTATCTATGGGAGCTTCAAGGCCTATCCTGCGTGTCAGAGCCAGCAGCCTCCCAAGGCAGAACCACCCCAAGAGAAGAGCCCTCAGAGCAAATCTCTCAAGATCTGTGTGATGCCATGGGACTTAGAGACACAGAAGTGGCCAACACTAAACACCACTGAGCTGTAACAGGTCTCCACCAACCACTCACCACAGCAGTGGAAGGCAGGTGCAGGCTGTGCTGGCACAACTCAGGCTTACAGAATCCAGCACAATGGCAGCACTCCGGCTGAGACAAAACGAGCTGCTCCTCATCAGCCCAGGGCGAGGGGCAGCTCTGGGACCTTCTGCATGGGCATATCTGGCTCAAGCACCTCCCTGCCGTGGGTACCTCCACCTCTCTGCAGCGAGGCCGCAGGAGCAGCAGACCGAGGCTACCCAGCAGGTCACGCCTTCCAGCTCATCACCTCTGCTTCAGCCTCCTGGTTTTCTACAAAGAGCCAAAACCACCCTCAAAACCAGCACCCCGAGCTGGAGTGGTGTCAGAGCGGTAGAGCACACCCCTCTGACAGCACTGCCTGGGGGAGGCAGGGGAGGGGACACCGCTCCTGCGCGAGGAGCGGGACTCAGAGCAGCTCCCCACACACTTGGGGAGCCCAGCCCAGCCACCCCACACCCGCTGCGGGGCTGCCCACCAGGACAGGCATCCCACAGGACGCAAAGGCTTCGGCCGCAGGGGCTGGCGGGCACGGGGCCGGAAGGCAGCCACTGTTCAGATCCAGAGGGCTCGGCTGTCCCTACAAATTGTGCTCGTTTCTCCTTGATCTGCTGCTCCGCATGAGCCACCTCTGATAGTGCTCAGCCAGTTCAGGCCCTTGAGGCCTTTGCTGAGCCCAGACTTGTTCAGAGTCAGAGAAAAATGTGATGGTTCCGTGAGGGTCCTAGCCCATTTTCAATTCAGTGGGGTGCAGGGCTCCGCAAGACAGCTGAAACCAGAGAGAAGGAACAGAGATTACATCCCCACAGGATCACTTACTGCCACACGAGCTGCGGGAAAGGATACAGGCTGTATGAACTTTGTTCTGCCTCCCAAGCCATCGTACCCCATCCTCACCTAGGAGAGAGAAAGAAATGAGCCAGGAGCAGCAGCACAGAGCCTTGGCTGCCTCTCCTCGTGGGGTTATGGGGAAGGTGGAGCCTGGCAGGCCACAGATTCCGGGAGGGGTCACAAGCACCTGGAAGCACTCAGCACTGGTGTTAAGCCCTCACCTTGGCAAAAAGGCAAATGCAAGGATATTAGTAAAGTTTGGGTAACTTGGGCACTTTCTGAAGCAACCTGAGCCTTCCAAGCAGCAGGAAGGCTTAGGATTTTATCACTGGGACTGAGGAATACAAGGAAAACACCCCAAGCTCCAAGGAGGTGGAGGAATGGGACACGGATGGCCATTTAATCTGCTGCCAGGAAGGGAACGAGCATCTGTCATCCCTGGAGCTCTGCAGAACTGGGAAGTAGCCAGGTCATGCTCCAAGATTTATTTTGCACGCACTCTATCTGGGAAGGTAAAAGTCTCATTCGCTTCCTCCTGCAGGGTCACTTCAGGACAGAGGTGTGCAGTGCCAGCCCTCCACAAGCTCACCAACTGGATCCTTACCGTGCCCATGTTCTTGTGGGGAGCCAGCAAGCTTCCCGAAGATGGCTTCTTGGAGAGAACAGAGTTCCTGATGAATGCTGGCAAAAGGCCTTTTAGAGCATCGTCCTCCAGATCATCTGCCCAGTTCTGTCCCACAAGATAATGAGAAAAGCCCTGTGACCATCATGTCCTGCTGATTTTAGTCCACATACATGGAGCACTAATAACACAGAGAGCTATTTAGGGTAGTGGTTACTGCTGTGCCACATCAGGCCAGAGAACAGCAGCTTCAAACCTCCCGCCGGAGCGGCGCCCGGGAGGCAGGACAGTGCACTCGGCAAGCCTGGGAGAACAGCCCCCGTCGCCGACCCCACAGCCCCATGGTCAGCCCCACGTTGTGTTTGCCAAGCACATCTGAGGCAGGATAATCAGCCAGAAGCACGTGGGTCCCCATCCCGCCCCTGCTGCCCAATTCCACGAGGCCTGAGGCAGCAGTACTGCGTTTCTAGGAGACTGGCAAGCAAAGCACTTTGAAGCATGTACTGTGGTTCTACAGACAGGCCGGTCGACAGCCACAGCATCTCCTACATGGAGAAAACGGGCCCTTTATCCCAACCTTATTAACAGCAGGATCAAAGAGGCGATACAGAAATCGAGATTAGTCCTTTTACCTCCACTGTTTCCTTCAGAACTTTCTTCGCCAGATTTACCACAGGAGGCCTGTAAGAAGCCCAAGGAGCAAATCAGCAGAGATTTATTGTTCAAGTGGAGCTGGCAAGGACAGACAAGGCCAAGCAAATGACGATGAAACTTGCAGCACGACATCAGGCAGCTGGAGAGCTATCTGATCTCGCACAGCAACTTCCAACGCAGCGAGACTTTGATCTCCTTTAGAAGCAGGAAGAGGAGGGAAAACTCACGGCTTTTTATCCAGCTTCTGCCTTTTTGCAGGGATGAGAGATCTGCAGGGCTGATGCTCAGGGGTGTCCACATCAAAAGAGGCATCTAGATTGATCTCATCGCTGTGTGCCGGGCGGTGGAGCATCGGGTGCCGCAGTTCCACGGGAGCGGGGCTGCAAAGCCGTGCAAAGCGTCAGCCATCGGAGGCCACTTCCTGCCACCCAGCAGACGAGAGGAAGACCGAGCCGCGCGCTGCCCGACTCAGTTGCAAGACAGCAGTGGGAGCAGGATCAGAGCCCCGTTCTGCCTGCAAGTCACCCAAAGGACAATCTGAATCCCAAAGTTTATAGTCCGTGACCCAAGCTACTGTTCACCCTCAAATGGCTTGTGCTGTAACAGCAGCTTCCTGAGCCCCAGTGAAACACACTGGCACGCTGCCGCGCTGTGTGTGCAACCCAGCTTGCTGTACTGGGGTAATAGCACAGGCTCCTCAAAAGAAGGAGCTCGAGTAAAACACATAAGACTCCATTATTCAGGCTAGGTTCCTCTGCCTGGCAAAGATCTCTGGTCCCCACACACCAGGACGCACTCACTGGAAGGCCAACTCCGAGGCATCCAGAAGAGCAGCTTCAGGGGTATTTCCTGGCAGGACAGAGTGGCAGAACTTGCCAAAATGTAGCTCATTCTTCCACCCTTTCCTGACCCAAACCCTCCACCACACACACACTTTTTCCCAGGTAAACCAAACACCATCTTGTCAGCAAGAAGGAAAAATTAAATAGGATACAAGGAGCAGGACTGCAACGTCTGCCAGACTAGCACATCTCTGCCTCCCCACCTAGCTCAGCTGTCAGCTCTCCCTTCAGACCTGCCGCCTCCGCCCTTGGCCTGATCTGGAGACACACTGCACCAACCTTTCAAAGACGAGTCGACTGAGTGTCTCTCTGGTTACAGAGGGGACTTTCAGAGTGTCCTGCAGGATGTCTATCTTCTTCTTCAAACTCTGGAGGGAAAAGGAAAAACAGACAAGACAAGGAAAGATTTAGCAGGAGATACTTTGCCCCTTTTCCATAGATTGGCAAAGGGTGGAGCTCAGAGGGGCAGGTAAGAGGTATGGTGGGCTGGGTAAGCTGGTCACTGAGCAAGAGCCAACGTAACTCCTGTCTGTGCAGCTACAGGCCATGGCCAGCTGCCAGTTACTGCAGACAGAGAAATTATATTCTCACCAAGATCTCCTTGTCTGTGTTCTTCAGATCCTTCTGGGTGCTTTTCAACTCCTCCTTTGTCTTCTCCAACTCCGAAACTGTTTTCTGCAGCTGCAGAACAAACACCCCCAAAGAGAAGAATACTGGTTACAACACACAGGCAAGGAAGACTGCAGACCCCTGTCAGGGCAGCACATGCTGCCTTCTCATTTCAGGACTGTTCTCCTTTGCCAGTCTGACCAACCTCTCCTGTATCAGAGCAATCCAATGCCTGCCCATTTCCTCAAGCTGCCTGCAGAGGGATCTCCAGGGCTGCCAGCCCAACACAAACCTTCCTACAGCCTTTCCCGAGCATTTATGCCTGATGGTAACAGCTTTTCCCTCCTTTAACACTTGGTGGCTACATTCTGGATTCCTGCAGGACTTAGAACACACCAGAGCACAGGAATTACAAACCACAGGCTAGAGGATGGTAGTGCATCAGCAGCGCTGGCACATGGACAAGCCTGATTCAACAGGGAAGTGTGCCAGGAGCAGGGTCGAGAAGTGGATTGCTGCCACATCAGAGACTTTTGTGGGTTCGGGAGTCTGGGCCAGCCCACAGTGTTGGTACAGTCAGCCCTCCGTCAGCCAAGCCCGGAGCCCTGAGCGCACTGACTCGCATCCTCTGACCCAAGCCTGTGATGGCAGTTTGGCACTGACTCAGCCAGAAGCCGAGTCCAGCAGCAGCACCTGGTGTAGGGGGTTAACTCCCCTGGGGGGCAGCACAGCAGTCCGAGAACCTCCTTCTCCATTTGAGCAGATCACAACAACTATGGCTGGGGAACAAAAACAGGCCAAATCCACCCACAGCCTCTCCCTTTGCAAGTGTGGACATGGGCATGCCCCAGGGAATACCCACACCTTGGAGAGCAAGGTTACACACGCTCACTTTTCATGGGGACTGGATCCTAAAACTGACAAAGCTATTCCTGCCCTGAGCTACCAGAGACCAGCCAGGCCTGGAGCAGGGGGAAGACAGTACTAGAGGTATATCAGCAGCTCCAAGCTCTGCACCACGTCACGGCCATCCCAGGCAGGCTCTGCGCAGAGCCACCTGCATGTCCTCACTCCACCTGGGAGCCTCTCCTGCCTGGGCCCAGTTCACAAGGCTGGGTGTGACTGCGGTTGTGCTAAGCCCTGCTGAGCTGATGCTAGCTGCAAAGCCCTTCCCAACCTTCCTAGGGGCCCGATTCTGCAGCGGGAGGGGCTAGCAGCTGAGCTAGCTCACACTCGGCAGCGTGGCAGGGTGAAGGCAGTGCCGCTTCCAGAGCGCAGTGGAAGCAGTGGAGCACCTGCGTGCTGCTGCCTTCCAGTCAGGCTCCCTGCCGAACTCTGGCCCACCAGTGTCCCCAGAGACTGCACTCCTGACAGCATCCCAGGAGCCACTCGCTCACCGCAGCATCACTGACCCAGAAACCCCAACCTGACACTTCCACACCACTCAAGTAGTGCTTGGTGTGGGAAGGGGTCACTGCAGGGGGCTTGGGCCCCTGTTACTGACAAGGATCTACAGGCTAGGTGTCACCCTGGCCACTCAGACTCCCTTTACCTTGCTATTGACAGAAAACAGCTCCTTCTTCAGCTTCTCTGTCATCTCACCAGAGATTTTCCGAGCCTCCTTCAGGTTTTCGTATTCCCTGCAAAGCGACCAGAAAGGTCACGCTGTTTACCACAGGCTTGAGCTAGGACTTCTCAGAGACAACCCAAAACCCTTAATTTGAAGCTCTGCAACATCAGGGCCACTGGAGAAAACCCAGGAGACACCAAGCCCTTTAGGGAACTGAGCTGTGTGCCAACACCGACCAAGAGCGTGTCAAACACCGCTACCCCATGCGGGAGGAAAAACGCTGCACAGGACACCATGCTTGAGAACAGGGCGTGAACAGAACGGAACCAGCAACACGGAAACCAGATCCAGACATTTCAGTTGCCAGTGGAAGAGGCAGACAACAGAGCAGCCTCCATGCTGGCAGTAAACAGGGGACTCGGATACAAGTGACTTTTCAGAGACTTCACACTATTGGCCATGCACATTCATCCCCAATTACACCACGGGGACGCTTGCCTCATTACAGCTTCGTATCAAAGCTGCAATTACGCAGCTGCCATCAGAAGGGACCCACAGCAGCTGTGGTTTTGCCCAGCAGGACCAAATGGATTTCCAGGTAGGGGAGGGCAGAGTGCAGATTTGCCTTGAGGCCAGAGCTGCACAGTGCAGAGCAGAGGGTACAAGCCAGAGCCCCTCATCCACTGATTTCCCCCCCGGGAGCAAGAGAAGAATGAAGGGAATAATAACCATCACCTCAGAGGTGCGCTGACAACTCTGGAGACAGTTCCCATGGTGACACGCATGTCACTACAGTGACAACGGGAACAGTTCAGTGTGACAGGCTCCAATCTAGGTCCCTGGGATCTGTCAGTCAAACCCTAGTGGAGGTCCAAACAGGCAGAAAGCCCCACAGAGCCTGTGTGCCTGCTGGTACTTGGCGGAGGGTTCTCCCTGGGCACACCCAGGACAGCATCCGCCGGCTGTGCCAAGCCTGCAGCACCTACTTTTTCAGCGAGACACAGTAGATGGCAAGCTGTTCCACTGCTGCCTGCCCGACTCCCATCTCTCTGATCATCTCCTCCACTTCGGGGCGCTGGCTCTGTAGCAACAGCTCGATCCTGCACACAAAGAAAGAAACCTCAGCACATGAGTCACAA